TCCACCACTGGAACAGTTGTAGCTCATGGCTCTCCAGAGATCATATATGCTTATGCAATAAAAATGGGGCTATGTTTCCACTTGGGCAAAACAAGATGTAGTCATCCCTTGACAGCTTACAATTTAATGCTGTATTTAAATTATTTCTTTACTGTAAGAAACAGAAAAAATGGTCAGAGCTGCTTTACATTCAAACCTTTATAACGGCCCTATACTAGAGGCCTGATCTTTGCCTTGGAACTAATCCTCCCTTAGGAGCTGAAGCTGCTGAGGACTCCTCCCCACCTCAGGCTACCTCCTCATTGGCCTACTGAGCCAGCATCCTCAGGAGATAAGGGCCAGCTCCTAAGCCCACCTCATACTTGGCCTGGGTCTGCCTACCACAGAACCCTGGATTCAGGGAACTCAACCTCTAAGCCAGCCACAGCTCCACCATATCTATAAGTCTCTTTTTCAGTTGCAGACATTCAGCAATTCAAGGAAAAATGGCTGATTCTCTGAGGCCCCTGAAGATTTATTAATGGTATCCATATCCTAACAATGATTTTTTTTTTTTCGGTACCAGGGATCAAATTTGGGCCGTTGTGCTTGTGAGGCAGGTGCTAGAACCACTGAGCTAAATCCCTGGCCCCTAACAATGACTTTTCATCTGACCTGGTGAGATGTACAATTCATCCTGGTTTCTTGCTGTACAGCAGTAGAAAAAGAAAGGATTTTAAGAGCTGCTAAGCGGCTAATGATGAAACCTTTGCAGATTGACCCTCTGATAATCAGCCAACTTCTGTACTATTTGGGTTCTGAGGGGCCTGAGTGGGATTATAACACAGGAGGTGGAGAAGCCAAATGAAAGTTATACATCAAGGCCGCAAAGGATGCCCAAACCTGTGAACTAAATAAGACAAGCTCAGGTCTATCAGTCAAGGCTCTGATGAAATGCCAACCGCTTTTCAGCTCTGGTTTGAAGAGGCATTCTGCAAATACACTATTTTAGACCTGGAGTCTACAGAAGGTCAGAGTATGCTAGGACAGTATTTTAATAATCAGTCAGATCCAGATATTAGGAGGAAGCTCCAGAAACTCCCTAAAGATGATGAAGTAGAAGACAAATGAGAATTGAAAAACGAAGAGGCAGGCTAAAGCCATACTCACTGTAACAGATAAGGATCAAGGCTGCAGCATGAGGGGAAACCAAGATAATCCCAAGAGTGATGGAAGCAAGTAAGAGTGACTCAAGTGCATGTACTGGGGTACAGGGAAAAAGAATGACTTCTAAAGCACCCAAATCCTTGCCAGTCCTGTCAAAACATGGGAGAAGGCCCTTGGCAATGGAAGAGAGACTGCTACATCTCCAAAGAGGGATAAGGTCATGCACTATCATGGTAGCTAAGGAAGAATGTCTGGATAATGAATAATGGTGCTAGGTAGGGGCAGCCTGCATGGCTTCCCCATAAGCATACTCTGATGGCTTTACAGGAACCTCAAATGACTCTAGAAGTAGTGGGAAACATTTCTTTGCAATGCTGGGGTGACTTATTCTATTTTCTCTCTCTCTCTCTCTTTTTTTTTTTTGGTACTGGGGATTAAACTTGGGACCTTGCATTTGCAAGGCAGGCAGCAGGATCACTGAATCCCTGGCCTCTAGTTTCTTATTTAGGTGAGCTCTCATTCTGTTCTATAGTTGCTGTGTACCTTGAAAGAGGTAAGTGGACAGCTTTATTTATCCTATTCTAAGCTGCTGTTTAGATTTCCTTTTACAAGTTGCCTTTATGGTGATATTGGAGTGTTCTATACCAGTAATCGGAAGAGATACACGCTTCCAACTCAGGGCCACCCTAACATTCAAACCTCTGGCAGCCCATGTCCTAGTACCTAGGGTCCAGCCAGACTGAACCCGTGGGAACCAATGTCTCTGCCAGGAGTCCTAACCATATGATGGCACCCCAGGGAGGGCCATCAAGGCCACTCCAGTAGTCATTCAGCTAAATGACCCTAAAATCTCTATCCTCACAGAAGATAGTATTACTTTAAGAAGGAAGTTAGGCAGGGGCTAAAGCCTATTATTGATAAGCTTTTGGCTACAAGGTTACTGGTGCCATGCCAGTCCCCATGCAATATACCCTTTTTACCAACAGTGGAGCCATCAGGAGAATATCACTTAGTTCAAGATCCCAGGGACACCAATAAGGTAGTGGCAGGTCCCTATACTCTTTTAGCACAGATCCCGAAAGACACTAAATTGTTCTCTGTCCTTGATCTCAAAGACACCTTCTTCTCTTCTATCCTTGTGCATCCTACCCACCCATACTATTTTGCCTTTAAATGGAGAGGCTTTATATAATGGCCTACCATTGAGGTACAAGGAACTGATAGATTTACTTCTCCACACTAGACACCAAAAAACAAAGAGGGAAAGCACAAATCTCATACACCTGTGAACCAGTGGGTGCCACCACTGTGGGTCCCAAGTTATAACATGATCTCTCTCTTTTTTTCCTGTTTTCTTTAGGGTCCTCCTGGATAATTAAAAAACTGCCTCTAATAGGGAAAATGAACAGTGATACAAAACGTTAGTACTAATCACATCTTTTCCTTATCAACAAGTTATCCAAGAACTTGACAGACAGCTGAGGCCAGTGATGGGAACCTATTAGAGATGAGTGCCCAACTGCAACCCCAAACCCATTTATTTACCACAAAGTGCCAACACCACAATTAAACCAGAGTATTGAGATTAGTTCAGGAAAAGCAACTCATACATTAACATCTTGTGTCTTAAAAGAAAAACAATGTGTGTGCCATAGGTTCCACACCACTGGCTTAAACAAACTTGCCCAGTGTACTGAGATCTTTCAAGACCAAATAGATTCACCAGCAGTGGTGGCCATACAACAATGTAGGGAAAAAGAGGGACTATATATGTCTTTAAAAGAAGAATGTAGTTTTCATGTTAATCAGTCTAAAGCGGTAAAAGATACAGCACAGAAACTAGCTGACCATACTTCTAAGATCTGTGAGGAACTGTTTGAGTTATAGATATCCTTGCCAAATATCTGGAATTGGGGAACTTGGTTATTGTCCTGGACATGGCTTTATCAATATTTTGTAATCTTATTGTCTTGATCTTACATACTTAATCTCTTGGTCAAATTCATCTTTCTTGTGTGATAGCTGTTAAACTACTGGTAATGGCCCAAGCCCAAGACTGAAGCCCTCTTTCGTATTCAGGACTCATCAACCTTGGAGCCAGGCATGGTGGCGCATACCTGTAATCCCAGCACTCAGGAGACTGAGGCAGGAGGATTGCTGAGTTCGAGACCAGCCTGAGCTACATAGTGAGTTCCAGATCAGTCTCAACTACATAGTAAGACCCTGTCTCAAAAACCAACCCCCCTGCCCCCCAAAAAAACCAAACCCTTGGAGCCCAGGTGTGGTGGTGCATGCCTATAATCCTAGCACTCTGGAGGCTGAGGCAGGAGGATCCCTATGAGTTCGGGATAGCCTGGGCTACACAGTGAGTTCAAGGACAGCTTGAACTACATAGCAGGACGCTGTCTCAAAATCAAACCCAACCCAACCCAACACTGGGAGGAAGAACCTCCCTCCCTTGATCTCTTAGGGCAAGAGTTCCTTGGTCCCCACATAGGTAGGGGCAGCACCCCTACTCAGCAGGAAGTAGCCAAGGAAAATGGACCTTCCTCCTTTAGTATCTCTCAAAGGTTTTCAGGGACTAGGCCTCTCAGAGAGGAATAATACAGGTAGTACACTGGGAACTGAAGAAATCACTCCCTTCCCCACTCACTCAAGCCTGGGTGGCACCCTAAGGCCATTCCTCCCTAATCACTCCTCTCCACCCATTTGAACTCTGGCAGCACCCTTGGAACACTCAATATAATCCCAGACCAAAGGACACATGTCGCCCCTTTTTTCTCTCACTTGTGAGCCCAACAGCCTGATTTGTCTGCATGATGTGCAGTACTCCTTTTCTGTCATTCTAGCATCATTTCTCTTTTCATGACCTTCAATAAACACAGCTGCTTTTCCTTCACCACTGGATGTACATTTTGCAATTCTTTGCTGGCTGTATGTAAGAGCTTGGAATCTACTTCTCATTAACATGTGGATGGCCATGGAGGCTAGCACGAAACACGCTGCCTTGTAGAGCAACAGAATCTTGCTCTTTGCAGGATGTAATGTCAGATATGTGTGAGAAGGAAAGACCCGTGGAGACACGGACTGCTTGGACAATATACTAAAAAGCACACACAAGAACCACACATGGTTTCATGGAGCTTCTACCTATTTTCTGCTATTTCACCTCTCAAGAGGGGAGAGACAATTTCAGATGGAAAGGAGGCCAGGAATAAAGGAAATAATGTAGAGATAAAAATCATCACTAATTTGCCCAGCATTTCCAGGATGCACTACAGAACTTACTTTCTCCTACTTGTCAACTGAATATATAGAACTCGTCTGATGGCTTGAACAATGAATATTTTCTAAATTCGTAGGAGGGAGAAGTGGGGGAGGATTCTTAGTGGGAACAGGTTGCTATTCCCACGCACAAAGCTACAATCACAATTGCCATCACTGATGCTAGGTATGCTTGGGCAGGGAGAGGGAATGCTACCTCTTACTGTTAGTAGTTTTGGATATATTCTTTCAAACCACGGCATTGCATGCAATGGTCAAAATGGTATTATGAAAAAATCCACAAAGAGTGGGCGTGATGGCGCACACCTGTAATCCCAAGCTCCTGGAAGGCTGAGGCTCCAGGAGGGTCACCTCAAGTTCAAAGCCAGCCTGGGACACACAGTGAGTTCGAGGCAAGCATAAACTACATAGCAAGACCTTGTCTTAAAACAAAAACAACGCCCCCACAAACCTCACATAAAATTTTTTTTTATTTTGGTACTGGGGATTGAACTGAGGACCTTGTGCTTGTGAGGCAGGTGGCAGCACCACTGAACTACCCCACATAAATATTTGATTTCACCTGATACCTTTTCTTCATTTGCTGCCATCAAAGACTCCACAGCCTTTTTCATTTTTTGCACTTCAGTATCTGAAAATAATACATCAAATCATAAATCAATTTAGTTAATATGTGTAAGATATTCTTCACTGAAATGGCTTTATGTTAAAGTGTTAATGATTTTTAAAAGGGAAACAGTAAGCACCCATACACTCTCAACAGACTGTCTAAAAGATAAACACCTCTTCTCTGTCCCAACAGCTGTCATTCTAAGAAAGAAAATAATAGGAGCTAACTATCCTCCCTCAGAGCAACATTTTCATACTGAAGATCACATCTGGACCCCTGTAAACATAGAAGCACATATTTTTTTAGAAAAATAAAATGAAGCTATAAAGCAGTTCACAAAAGCAATGAAACGGTACACATAATGACCAAAGCAGAAAGAATGATACTCAGTTATAACCAAGACGCAGACAGGCATGGGAAGAGTCTGATGGAGTGTGTTGTTTACATGAGTAGTCATGCTCAGAAGCTGTGTGGGTTCCACATAGATGGGTAAGTACTTTGCTTCATCGATAAACATCATTTCTCAAACTAGTTTAAAACAGATTTTAACACATAAAGGCTAAAGTAAGCTGAGGATAATTTTTCTTAAAATTTGATATGCAAATATAAAAACTATGTTACTTGAATAAGAAACTAAAATATTTTAAAGATAGAAAGTTCAACCAAAAGTGAAACTACAAATTTAAGAAATTAAAATAAATTCACCTAGTTATATACTTCTGAGGAAAAACAATATTTATAATTTTTAAAACAATGCAGTTGACACAACATTTTAAATTAGAAAGTGTTTTCTTTCTTTCTTAAATACCTTTGACTTAATTCAACATCTGGGGGAAATAATTCATTTAAGATTTATCTTTGTGTGTCATAAGGAAGCCAGGCTCCATGAATCAGCCTAGATAAAATTTTATTAACCTCAAGAGGATATAAAGAAGCAAATAATAAAGATCTCAGCCAAATAATGGACTTTTTAAGCATGAAAAAGCAAGAGAAAAGTTCAAAAGGATCTTTCAATGGTGGTATATCATAAACAGTGTGTTTTATGCTGGATATGGTGGTGCATGCCTATAATCCCAGCACTTGGAAGGCTGAAGCAGGACTGCCATGAGTTGGAGGCCAGCCTGGACTACACAGTGAGACCCTGTTTCAAAAACAAAAAAACAAAAAACAAACAAATTAAACAGTATGTTTTTATAACAGTATAAATGCTATTTTCTCCTCTGCCCTGTATCATCAGAGAAAACATTGCTGATCTCTACCTCTATTATCCCTGTCGTATCCTGTGGAGCAAGAGGGCTTTAATAAGGCAAAATCTTTGTAATGATTTCTCCCCTTGCTTTTATTGTCTTTCTAGCCTCTGTTTTGTATACTCTGAAGAAATGGAGGGCTTATTGATGAAGCAACTATACATTTTTGATGAGAGAAATGTTTTAAAACACATGCAATGAACAAGGTAGCACTCCTGGTGAGTGCAAAGGCTGACGGAGGTACACCAAAACCTTACTTTTTTCTTTGAGCTTCTTCTTAAAATTTTCATCTGTGCAGGAAAATCCATTGAATTGGAAGTTAGTACACATCATAACAATACATATCTCCTTTACCTAAAATAAAGGAGGTCTAACTTCATAAAAACAGAACATAAAGCATTATTTTGTGACTTCAGGATAAATGCTTTGCGTGACATGTGAAAGAAAATGTGCCATAACTGATGAGACCTAATTTAGTTACTGGCTCTAGTCTTACCTCTCTGAACCTTGACATTTTTCTTATGAAAATCAGGTACACAAGCAATGTGTCTTACACCATGTGTGATGAAAACCTAGGCAGTACTTCTTTGGTAGCTTCTTACATTTCTGTCAGTTCAATCTCTGGTCCTCTGGACTATGACTACTATACTGCTGTGTCCCATCCAATTCACCACCCAAGTTCAACAACACCAAAACGGTCTATCTTGTGTTCAGTGAGAGGAGCCCATGGATGAGGCAGTTAGATGTTCCAATAACAGACTGCCACAAAGATCTCTGAACACTTGCTCTCAATCCCGCCTGTATCTACTTGTTCACTGTAGTTCAACAGATTGATCACAACCCTCAGAACAGACTGTGACCACCACGGCTCTAATAAATCTTTTTGTCCACAAGGCCCCATCCTATTTTATTCTTAAAACTTTAAAGTAGGGGTGGAGGTATAGCTCTGTGGCACAACCTGAGTTTAGCACCCTGGGTTCAATCTCCAGCCTCCCCTAGAGAACTGATCATGGTTGATTTCTCAGTGTTCTTTAATAAAATTCTATGTATGCCAAAATACAGGGGGGAAAATACATCTCTCTCAAGGTTTGATAAACTGAGTTTTTGGATAGACAGGGAATTATGATATGTACAGGTACATGAAGCCATGATATTCTAGAGCCAAGAAACTTTAGAGTTTGTAATTTAATTCAAATTCCTCCTTTTAGAAATAACAATGTTACTTATTTTCATATAATGAATAAAAATGAACCAAAGCTATGATAACTGGAATCTATAACATTTCAAATGAGTCAGAAATTGCTTTTAGTGCTACAAGTCATTTGCAACAGCAAAGACAGTTTGAATTCAGCCTAGAATTGTCAGATGTTACACACATTGTATTTTGAAATAGAATTTTTTAAAAAGCACATTTCCTTCAGTCAGGCATAGTGAGACATGTCTGGAATCCCAGCATTCTGGGAGGCTGAGACAGGAGATTTGAGCCCAGTCTGGGCAACTCAGTGACTTGATGGGATTCTGTCGCAAAAGGAAAAAAGGGTAAGGATGTAGCTCAGTGTGAATGCCCTGGGTTTATTTGCCATATGGAAAAAAATTTCAATTATTTTCTATAGTCCATGTAATTATACTACGAAATTCTCCTTAGTTCTGAAAAAAAAGAATCAATTCATATATTTAAAAACAGAGTAAGCCCATATTTTTGCACTCTAAAATGTTGATGGTTCAATCATAAGAAATGTTCTGATTTTCCATTCTTCTGCAGGAAGTTTCTAAATCCATTACCTCATTACTTTGTGTCAAGTTCAGTTGAGAAAGAAGCAATCTTGGGACTTAGTAATGGCTCATTTTTATCCTTTAACTTCTTTTTTATTGTAATTTGGACAAGTGTATTTCTTCTGACAAAAATCCACAATTTAGCAATTTAAAATGAATTCTAATAAAACACAAAAAGGCCCTTTTCTAGCTGCTCAAGTAGCAGCTCACAAATTCCTTGTCACAGTATCATTGAGAACTGCTGGGCCTAAGTGGCTCTGCTACTCTTTCTTTACTTTAATGCTAAAATTACACAATGACTAACATCAGCCTCTCTTCTAAATTTTGGAGGTTTGTTACAAAATAGGGCAATAAATCTTAAATGAACATTTTTTACCTTTATCAAGAATTTCAATCCCTTCTCCTTTCATCTTGCAAACCAATTTCTCTTGTAGCTTTTTTACTTCAGCTTCTTTCTCTTCTAGTTGCTCTTTCAAAGAAGCCAGTTCATCCTACAAATTGTGAATTCATTTTAAAATAGTAGTTTATGTGTACAGAATATTTAAAGAACATATTAACTCTTTAAATCAATAACTGGGTTGCGAGGATGAAACAAAAATCTGCATGAATTTAGACACAAACATCAGAAATTAGTGGCAATGACAATCAGGAAGCAAGTGTATTAAGTCCAATTTACAGTAATTATGATGTATCATTTCAAGTTTGTGGATAAAGTAAAAAGAAATCTTGTAAAATATAATCAGGACTGGATAGTGCTAAGGTTTAGATCTTATGTTAATTAAAAAATCTGACCAAGTTAATCAAAGAGATAATCAAATCAAAATTAGATAGTGTCATAAAAGCAAAATAAAATGCAAACTGGAAAACAATTACTTGATACTCATTCAGCACCTTAAGATGGTATTAATGCCTAGACAAGAGCTAAGCTTAATCAGTGGGCAAGGCAGCAAGTTATGGATGAAATAATTCATCTTCATCATTAAGTAAAAGGATAGAATCTTCTATAGAAATGGGTAAAGCAAATCTAGAAAACAGATTATTTTAAGTCTTCATTTTTTTAAAGTAGGCAACTGCAAAAGAGTCTGACTGTTGTTCTATTTGTTAATAATTTAACTTTTGTTTTGTTTTGTTTTGTTTTTTGAGACAGGGTCTCACTATGTAGTTGAGTCTGACCTGGAACTCACTATGTAGTCCAGGCTGGTCTCGAACTCCCAGTGATCCTCCTGCCTCAGCTTCCCGAGTACTGGGATTACAAGCGTGCGCCACCACACCTGGCTAACTTTTGTTTTAGTAAAGAAACTGTTAGCAAATTTACATTTTGCTGGCTGTTTTTAACAAAATAGAGCTATGCTATGTTACTGTGTACACTTTTATATTTGATGTCACATTTTATTCTCAGAGTCTCTAAATATTTTTACTATGCTTAATAACATGAGAAGATAGAGTCCACCAATGAAGCTAGAAGGTTGGTCTTAAATTTTGGCTTATGGTAAGAATGGACATTTTTAGCAACATTAGCAACATTGGCAACAGTTGTTCTTAATGCGCTGCTTCTAAGCAGTAATTTCTACTCACTGATATAGTTAATTTCTGTATATATTTACTTGCAAAAAAGTCTTCAAAGAGGAAAGAGGCTCTACTATTTATATGAAATAGAATTCTGCTACAAGGGAACTTTTATAAGAATTTTACAATGTCTGGGGCTCAGTCTAGGAGGATTAGATTTAATTTATAAGGAAACACTTTTATTTTACCTTTTTAAAAATTTTCACTAGTTATTCATATATTTCTGAAAGAACATTAGAGCTCTCATTGATCCTTTAATTGATATTGTGTGCATTGTTCATAAACAGATGAGAAACACACAAAATGAATGCACATACCACTAAAAACAGCATCACAGCAAAACAACACAAGCTAGAAAACAACAGGCCATGGAGCGCAGCACTCCAAGTCTACTACACCTTCAGTGACTCCCACTTTTGTTCCATCCGCTGCTTTTCATACTGCATCTGACCCACCTTGATTTTCATGCTAGAAATTTTGGCCATTAAAGACTGGTAGGAGACAAGGAGTAAAAGAAAACTAAAAAAGGACAAGCTAAGTAACCAAGAAAAGAGCATCAATTTTCAAGGTTAGCTAACTCAAGAGAAATGGCAGGTTACATTCTGACAGATTAGTTAAGCTGTGCTTTTTATTTAAAACAATAGTACATAGTTCAAGAAGGTTTGCAAAAAACTTCAGTCATTTGAAAAATAACTTCATTCTCATACTGAGTAGAAACATTTTATTTATATTATTGATCATAGATGAGTAGTACAGCCATTTATTAAAAGTTGCTTTTTTTCTTAAACCAGTGAAAAACTTACTTTGGTTGATTTAAGCTTTTTTTCATACTGAAGTCTTTCACTGTCCATTTCATCAACTTTTAATCTCAAATCATTGATCTCCTCTATTAGCCCCTGTCCAAAAAGAAATTAGGAAATGTACCAGAAAAGTAGAAATACAGTTACCTGAATTAAAAGGGCATCTTGGAATCTTACAAAATCAATAGCTTCAAAAATTAAAGTTGTCTCAATCAGATCAAAGATATGGAATTACAGTAAATGTATGGTTCAAGAACCCAATAATTTTTTTTTTTTTTTTTTTTTAAAGACAGGGTCTCACAATGTAGTTGGGACTGCCCTGGAACTCACTATGTAGCCCAGGCTGGTCTCGAACTCCCAGTGACTCTCCTGCCTCAGCCTCCCAAATGCTGGGATTACAGGTGTGTGCCACCACACCTGGCTTAAACACCCAATAATTTTCTATTTAAAACACTGCTTTGAATTCCTAATGCCTCTGCCCTAAAGTGGTGGGTTTATGAAAACAAAAATTGACTGATTTTTTTTTTTCTTGATACTAGAGGGAGATTCCACTCAGGGCCTTGCATTTGCAAGACAGGTGTGGCACCACTGAGCTACATCCCTGATGTGAGGTGGTTATAATTTTGATTAAGAAATATTATAGTATTAACTATCCTTATTTAATGAGTCCTTAGTAATCTTCTTTCATCTTATCTTAATATATATTTGCCTACGTTTTCATTGTTAAAGTATATGGCACTGCTGTACTTTAGTGGCTACTTGCAAAAGAGAATAATTAAATAAAATGGAGCCACACATGTGAATCACTTTTTTGTTTAGACATACCCTACTCCACCTCATACTGGGGATTGGAACCCTTCACACAGCACTGCATCCCCTCAGCCCTTTTCAAATTTTGAGACAGGCTCTCATTAAGTCATTATGTGGCAGGGACTGACTTGAACTTCTAATCGACTTGCCTCAGCCTTGCAGAGTGCTGGGATTACAGCTGTGTGCTTGTAATCTGGCTTGGGATAGCTTCTTAATATATCATCTATAGAGCAGCAGCCCTTCCAATTGGTTCAGCTTCCAATTATCTTTTGTGACAATACTTTAAATATGAATTTAAATTTCCAACCTGGAAGAAGTCATATCTTTCCAGACAACCTTAAAAATGGAATATAAATGGCTTGGGGGTTGGGATAAAATAAAATTTATTGAAAAAACAGAATATAAATTACTTCAAGTAACTTCTTATCAGAATTCAGCCCTAAAGAAAATGTTACCTTCCCTTTGGGAGAATTCTGTACTTTTACCAGCAGGAGGCACTGCTGAATGACTCTAACTATCTCCCATTAGCAGTCTCTAGACCATCAGTCCTGACTTTGAAAAAGTGTAAAGACTGTAACATACTATCTTTTGGAAAAAACTACGCTTCTTCCCCACTTCAATATTTTCTTAGAAATTAATATTCAAATACTCTAAAGTTCTAAGACAAAGTTAAAGATTTGGGATTCACAAAACAGGTAGGAAAACACTATACCTCTATTAAGGGAACAGTAACAGGAATAAAAGCATATTAAATTGTTTTAATTTTGAAGGCTATTTTAATTATTTTCATATATAATATTACAAAGTTCATCAAATCCTATAATCTGTTGGTATGTGCAGGACACATTTCAACATAGTACTGAAGAGAAAATTATCAGGGATTGAATCTACTGAAGTGTGATGACAAGATCACTTTGCACAATAATAAAAACGCGAGAGTGAAAGAAGTGGTGGGGGAAATGTGACAAAAAGCAGAAAACTCCAGAGATGTAAATGTTATTCTAGAATCTTACAAAAAAATATAAAACATCTACTGCAATGTAGTCCCAATATTTAGTTAATACCTTGTACCCAAATTAAAGGAACAAAAGTCACACAGATTAAGACCCCTGTACTCTGCAGATGTGACACAGGAGGCCACCTCTTCATCCACGTGTCCCATGACTTCTCCCCATGTAACAAAACTAGTTCCACTTACAGTCTTTCCACCTGCTGAATTCTATTATGTCAGGCAGTGATTATGAGGTTAGGGAATGACAGAAAGAGGTAAATCTAAATAAATTTCAAAGAAAACACAAAAGCAAGAATTTTTAAAAAGTGAAGTAACTTTCTAAGTCCTGCTCCAGTCTCATAATAGAAACATGCTCATGCTCAGGTATGTACACTAACGAAGAGCTTTAAGGTTCAATCAGGCATGATATGAGGGGTTTCCACCTGCTGGTAAGGAAGCAGGAGACATAACCAAAGCTTACTTTTACAGTTCATCTGGGATAGGAAGTTTGATTTTGAAAACAGTAATGGAGCAACCTTCATGATCTCAAATGTGACTTTCATATAATGGGTAATAAATGTGATATACCTTGTATGATGATGGCATATGGTTCATGGAAATTAACAATCTGACAAGATGTAGAGAAACAAGCAAATGATTACCTTCTTTCTCTCCTAGATACCTATTTTTTGACATAGGATGATACTTCCTCATAATCAAGAAAACAAAACAGAAAAAAAAGGGATGATCCTTGGAGAAAAAATTTCTATGGTTTTACATTTAATTTTACTTATTTACTTTGTGAAGTTGGGGGTCAAACTCAGTGCCCTGTACAGGTGAGGCAAGCACTCTACTACTGTTACATGCTAGCCCTACATTTCACTTTAAGTGAACAGAGATCAAATGAATAGGCTCTTTCTCCCCATCAATAAAACACTAATTAGAAGACCTGGATTGACAATAAAATAGCAGAGTGGGCATGATGGTATACACCTGCAACCCCAGCGCTCTAGCGAGAATGAGGTAAGAAGATTACAAGTTTGAAGCAAGCATGGGCAACTTCCAGTAGATCCTGTCTCAAAACAAAATAAAAAGGGCTGAGGATGTAGCTTAGCGTGAAGACCTGGGTTCAATCCCTAGTACCTAAAAACAACAAAATAGGAAGAACAATAAAGTTTGTTTAGCCACAGGTACTTCACATTGTAGACTCTACCTTGAGTTTCATACAAATATGGTGAATTTTACTTAACATGATTTATGTGTAATAGACCAAATGTAGAAGGTCAAATTAAATGAGTTCTGAAAAGCTTTATGATTTTGACTGTATAAAGTAAATACATCTCTATGTAAGATATCCTTTTATTTGTAACTAATAATCAATGTACCTAAATAAGGACTTCTAGTAAAGCCATACATATAAATACATTATTTACAACAAGGAAAGCCAACATGGCTAGATAGATAGGTGTTACAAATGTCTTGAAGTTGAACGTACAGTATATCTCTATAGGCTAATGAAAGGATTATTATTTCCAATCAAAAGTCTCAAAATACAAATTGGCATTAGCAGTTAGGGAATGAACCCGGGACCTTATGTACACTTAAACCACTCCCCACTTCACAGAATTACAACCCCAACCCCTTAAAAATGAAGTAGGATGAGTGCACACGGTAAGTAACTACTCCCCTTCCCGCCTCTGGGTAATTTTAGCTTTATCACAGGATCATGTATGTGGGAGAAAAAGAAAGACAAAGTGAAGGGATCACTTACTTCTGTGTTTCTGAACCTATCTTCATAATCCAGTCTGTCCTTCTCTACGGCCGTCAATTTTAACTTCAAATTAGATATTTCAGCCATCAGATCCAACTTTTGGGTTTCTAAGGATGTCCTACTCAGAAGCTCCTATTAGAATTTAAGATACATTTAAAAATTATTTTATTATAAATGGCTCCATGTGAATTTGTGTCATCTATGATTGCAAAGCAGCAATGATAAAGCACAGAATGTGGTGAAGAATAAATTACTAAATATTTTTATTCTTTGAGTAGAACTAAGCACCTATCAGCTTATTAGGGGAACCATTTAAGAAATATTCACAGATATAAACTGTATCTATTTCTTTTCCCTAGTGCTAGGAGGGGAAGCCAGGGCTTCGTATCTGCTAAGCACATATTTTATCACTGAACTCCTCCCCCAGACCCCTTACTTAAGCCAGATGGTAACACTGATGATGATGACAACACTATGCTTGCTGCATGCTGTGTATTTATGTGATGGGTATCAATGGTCCAATCCCTTTATTTTGGCAATAACTCTTATTATACTCATTCATCAGAAGAAAAATCCTCAGAGAGGTTAGGAATGTGCCAAGTCATTCAGCAAAGAAGTAACCGCAGGAATTCACACCTAAGCGCTGTTGCTCCAGTGCGTACTCTGCCTACTGTATCACAAGGCCTCTCATATGTGAGCTCTGTACATGTGTGTGTGAGCTTTTCTCAGTAACAAAGGTCATAGGTGATGTTTATCTTCTTTTTAATTTTATGGGTACATTTTAGATATACATAATGATAACATTCATCTATCTCCTTAATCATAAAATATATTCTCGTGGTGTCAGGAAAATGAATGCACAAAGAAGAAAATCAACCTAAAATCTTATTAACATTTTATTTGACTCAAATTAAATAAACACTCTGCACTATATGTCTGTATGTTTTGAGATCCTACTTTTGATTCTTGCTTAAAATGTGCCAGTTTGAGTTAATCTGGACATTTCCTACTAAGCCAGAGTAAAGTAGCATCTCAAATAACAGTTCAATAGGAACTCTCCTTGCTCCCACAATCCTCGGCTGGCTGCTGAACATACCTGCTGCAGCATTTCTTCCGTGGCATTCAACTTCTCTCTGTGCTCTTCCAGACAGAATTCCAAATCTCGAATCTTTTCCCCTTGAGCCTCCACCTGGTCTGTTAACACACTTACCTGTATGCAGAGAAAAATAAGGAATTGGAAAGAACTTGGGTCTGACTGTGCATTTTATTTTTCTAAATGGAACAAAACCTGGAAAGATCTCACCACTTGCAAGATGATTAAAAAAAATACATACATATATATATATATATAATTTATATACCACTTTTCGATTTAAGCATTCTAATTCAGTTTAGGAGAAAGTTATTGCTGATTAGGGATGTGCAATATTTCATAGATGAAAACTGTCAATCATTTATAAGAGAACATGTATCTAAATTACATTTTTTGAGGTGTAGAAGAAAAATGAAGGAAACGTAGAGGTTAAAAGAAGACATGAAACAGACATTATCAAAGACTATTGAAATCTTGCAGAAGAGTAAGGGAGAGAACCCAGGAAATTCACATTCCATGGGATCTTTCAATATTACACTGATCACAAATGTACTTAAAGCCAAAGTGCAGGACTAGGAGTGTGGCTCAGTGGCAGAGGGCATGCTCACCAGGCGTTAGGCCTTGGTGAATTTCACCCCTCTCTCCAAATGCCAGGATTCAAAGGTACATGGAAAACCGCAAGGTTAGTCCTTTCTTAGTACTTATTGCAAATATGTAGTTTTTGCTCAACAATGACCATCCTACGTAAATATACCTCAATTCATGAGGCTCAAATATCAAAGAAAAAAGATTTGTGTAGCATTTGAAACCCCTTGAGGAAGCAAATTTAGCCTACATATAGGAAACCACTTACTTTTATTTTATTCAGCCCAGAGTATAATTTAAAAAATTAAAATATTAAATATATATTCAGATTCAGAAATATAAAATGCTGCTACAGTACAGACATTCATATATCTGAGTTTGCGTTTATATATTAAAATATACTTAAGCAGCAGGTCAGATGAGATGACACAAAAAAAATCATGTATCAGATGATACTGCAAGTATTCAAATTGTCCCTTGAACAGCTGAGGCTAAGCATTGCTTCTTTCACACTGGGTGTCCACATCCTTGCTCTCCTAAGTTTTACCACTCACCACTGTGCAAAGAGGGCCTACTGCACTTGCTTTTCTTAGGAGCTTGTCTGTTTTACGTATCTGAATTTATCATCTCAATCTAATATACTGTGTAAGTATGTATTCCCTTGGTATCTGTGTGGTATTAGTTTCAGGATCTTCATACACATCAAGATGTGGGCACTCAAGTCCCTTATATAAAATGGGTAGTATTTGCATGTAACCTACACACATCTTCTCATATACTTTAAGTTATCTCTAAATTACCTAGCATAACGTAGTTATTACACCTTTTTTTTTTTTTAGGGGATAATGACAAAGAGCCTGTACATGCTTAATGCATAACTTTTCCAAAGATTTTTGATCTGAAGTTAGGAGGGACAACCATATGTCATGAGGAAAGAGAGACATTTCAGAATCACTTGCCTGAAGAACGAGGGACTCTTTGTCATTTTCTAGGCGTGCTAGCCTTTCTTGATACACATCTCCATTCCCAGGTAGGTGTCCATTTGTCTGAAAAAGGAAATAATACAGGCAAGGTCAACTTGTGCCTGAATTAAATTTATGGAAAATATAAAAATTCATTTACTTCAAAATAGGCACAATGGGTCAAAATAATGACCCTGAAGTAACAGCAATTACTGACTTTCTTAATAAGCACACACACCTAGTGACATGTAACACTTTTTGAGTGTGTGGTAGGGTGCAGTATCTCTGCTTTTCTTAATGCTCAGTCACTGACTCTGAGTATGGACTATGGTTATGACCTGTGATGCCCTGCTGTTCCCATCACTCCCATCCTCAAGTACCACATCTGGAACTACAAATGCCTGCATTTGGGTAGGAGACAGCAGAAGTTACTCTTACCAGTCTTCCTTCTGCTCACTCAGGTCTCCCATTCACAGGACAGTTCTTCCCATTACTCCAAAGCCTTGGGCCTTGAGAAGCTTTCCTCTTCTCCTCCAAAAGCTTCAATATTCAGCCCTCAGTGACACCCCCTGGCCCTCTATGCTTACTAGCATTTTTTTTCTGTACTGACCTAATTAACTTCTAGTAAGCTGACTTGTTTATGTAACGTTCAGCTTCTGGGCAGATCTTGAAAACGTGTCAACATTGGCACAATGTGCTGCCCTTTTCATCTCCCTCCTTTTATATTTTTATTTTCTAACTCAGTTTGTAGAGGTTTCAGTCCACAGTTGGCAGGCTCCAAGGCAGGGTGGCACAGCACAAGGGCAACAGTTCATGGCAGGGTAGGCAGGAAGCAGTGAAACAGGAGTATTGAGACTTTTTTTATTCCATTCAGGCAACAAGCCTATTGGTTGGTGCCACCCACACCCAGGGAGGACTTTCCCATTGTCAACATGCAGAACCATGCTTAACAAATCAGTGGACTAATCCAGTTATCACACACCCTTAATCCACATTCACATACCCTAGACACAGCCACCTCCAAAATGTCCCACCTATGAGTGCATGAGGCTTTGGGGGACATCTAGACAACAGCTATAAAATTCTACCCCTTGCCCCCCAAACACTCATGTACATCCCTTTATGCAAAAGGCATTTAGTCCATCTCTAAGAGTTGTTTAAAGTCCTAATATTTTTGGCATTGTTGAAAAGTCCAAGTTCAAAGTTTTTAGATTTAAGGCAAACTCAGCTATGAGCTCCTGTATAAATAAAAAGAAAGTTCAACACTTTCAACATTCACTGGCATAAGATAAACATTCCCATTCCAAAAGGTACAAACAGGGGAACAGAAAGGAATGGGACCAAAAAAGACCAAAATCCAGCAGGGCTAACGTTAAATCCCATAGTTCCATGTCCAAAACGCAGGGCAATTTGTGGCAAGATATGAACTCCAAAGAGTGTAGGTGGCTGGGCCCCTATAGCACCAACCATAGTTTTAGCTCTCATGGCTTCTCTTGGCCAGCTTTGCTCTTCTTGAAGCTTTCCTCAGAAAATCCAGGTTCCTGGCTTCTCCAATTTTCCAGGGTCTCCACTGCACCTTTGCCTTTACACTCACAGACTCACATTCTGCTCTCCCAGGTGCACACTGCCTGGCCTCCCAGGCTTTCTTTTAAAAAACTGGGTGGCAGCCTTCTTAATTTCACAGCTCTTGCATTCTGCACGCACTTATAGCTAGTACCATGTGGATGCTGCCAAGATCTGTCACCAACTGGTACAGCAGCCTGGCTTCTCTCTCCTTGGCTGTAGGAGCTGAGTCCCTGGATTGCTGAGTGCTATGAATCCATTCCAGAGGAACAAATTCCCTAGGCCACTGCCATTCTGTAATGTGGTGCCCTGGGGCTCTCTTCTCAAAGCAGTCTTTTACATTTGCAATTTTGAGGTTGTAAAGGTTGGAATCCTGCTGGTTCTTGTGATACACTCAAGCCATCTTCTCTATTGTCCAGTTCTGAAATACTTGGGTTTTTAATGCCAACCATTTCGGCAAGTAAGTTCTCCTCAGCTCTATCTTTGTAGGCCACATCTTTTCTGAAGCTTCCTTCCTATCAAACTCAAAAGTTTAAATATCATTCACCTGGACCATTTGCTTTTGATTCTCAAGGTTGAGCTGGCTAAAATCTCTCAATATGAGCCATGCCACCACCTCAGTGTCAGACAGCCTTGAAATTTCTTCTGCAAAATTAATCAATCCACTGCCCTTAATGTGAATCTCCCATGAAGTCTTAGGACATGAGCAAAATGCAGGCAAATTTTATGCCAGAGCATAACACACATGGTCTAGAGTCCAACTGTAAACACAATCGTTCTTTCCAGATGTAACATCTGAGCCTAGTCTTTTCCAGCTGCATTATAGTCAACATTCTGGTCTTCTGAGCTCTAACCAGAATCTCTCATGAAGGTTCTTACAACATACGAAGGTTTAGTCAGCATCTCCAAACCTTTGCAAACTCTTCCCACAAGCTTCGAAAGGCTTCTGAGCCACATGTCCAGGTAGCATCACAGCATTATATACTACTGTCGTACCAAAATCTATCTTAGCTACTTTCTTGCTAGGACAAAATGTCTGACACCCATAAGTTAAAGGAGGAAAGGTTTATTTTAGCTCATAGTTTGTAGAGGTTTCAATCTCTTAGTTTGTTGGCTCCAAGGCAGGGCAGCACAGCAGAGAGACATGGCAGAGAAGAAACAGTTCATTGCCGGGCAGGCAAGAAGCAAGAGCTTGAGTAACCCTTTTCCTTTTATTCCATTCAGGCTATAAGCCTACTGATTGGTGTCACTCACACCCAGAGTGAGCCTCCCTATTATTCACACCAGAACTAGGCTAAACCAATCAGTTGGCTAATCCAGGTAACACACCTCTTAGTCCCTCTTCATACACTTTTGCCCAGTGGTGGCCAACCTATGGCACACACGCCACAGTGGGCCTGCAGGGCCCTTTGTGTAGATACACAAGCCAAGTTACCCAAGTAGCCTTGGATATTCAGATTTAACTGTAGTGTTGGCACTTTGCAATTAATAAGTGGGGTCTGGGTCACTGCTGTAGCCCTAGATCCAACCAGCCCCCTCCTATAATTGTATGAGGCTTTGGGGTTACATCTGGATACAAACCACAACAAAAATGAACAATTTGGTGTTTTTTTTTTTTGGTTTTTTGAGACAGGGTTTCACTACGTAGTTGAGACTGACCTGGAACTATGTAGCCCAGGCTGGTCTCAAATGAACAATGTTTGGTCGTAAGCAGGCTTTCTTGCTTCTCCTACAATGTGTTCCATACTCCACGGTTAAACCCTGGACTAGCTCCTCAGTCCTGTTTAGAAGGTGGTCTCAGAGCTTTATTAACGGAACATAATCGAGGCCCTCATGTGACCTCCATTGTGCACGTTCTTCTTCACTGCACAGTATTATTATTGCCTCTTTCACCTTCATCTTTCCTTACTCTCTTCCTGCCAGTATTAGGAAACCGCGACCTTTTTTTGCTAAAAGCTCATCATTCCACCTCTACAATGGAACTTTTTTCTTTCTTTTTTTTGGTACTGGAGATCGAACTCAGGTCCTTGCACTTCTGAGGCAGGCAGCAGAACCACTGAGCTAAATCCCTGGCCCTCTACAATGGAACTTTGATTTCCTGTTTCTTTAGACCTATAATTATCTTCTTTACTTACTCTGTTTCTTCTGACTGATATTTTCTTCAGTTTTCCTTCCTAACACCCAAAGGCCTACCACGATACTCCCCTCTCACCCTTCTCTGCCTATACAATTCTACCCTTCATAAGCACCTCCCACCTCATCCTCACATTGTGCCATCCTATTTTCCCCTCCCTGGTTTTCCTTCTCTGTCCTTACTCCACAGCTTTTCATCATATTTTGCCATTGACAGCTGACGAGCAATTTTGTGTAAATGAACACTGCCTCATAGTTTCTATTAGTACAAAACTCTGTTACATTTCTTTGACTCTTCCACAATGTTTTATAATATCCTGAGCACATAATTTAAAATGTATTTAATGTAAACTCTTGGTGATCCAAAACATTAAAGACCAGCCTAAATTGTTTTACTTCAAACCTCAACAAATATCTTCAGAGTCATCCTTTATACTTTAGCATGATGCAACCCCATTTGACCCATTCAGTCTGGCTGCAAGTCTAAGTAAAAAAATTGGAATAAACTTGAGGATTTCAACAGTAGAGCATTCAACTAATAGCAAATACAAAAGATTAGGGTGGGAAATCCACCTGTGCTATACTACTGATACCTTGATTTAATTAATGAACTTTAGTGTTTACCAGGTTTTGTTGATATAACAGAGAGAAAAACATGTAAAAAGCTTTAAATGAGAACTAGGAACACTGCACATCTGGAGCACTATCTACTTTACCCTTTAACTTAAGTGACAAGTATTTCTGTATCATTTTCAAGTATCATAAACACACAACTATAAAGATGTAATGATTGTTAGCATCCCTTCTTTGAGTCTCTATTTTATATTTTATTGCAGCAAATTAAAAAAACATGTAAAATTAGGAGTCTGGCTTGATGAAACCCCATGTATCTGCTGCTTTGTTTTGGTAATTATTAATACATTATAAGTGGAAGTCTTTATCTGTCATTTTTACTAAGAACATTAATGTTTTCTTTTGATATTCTGGGTTCTATTTGCTTGCATTAATTTGCGGTTGTCCTCTTCTGTTTGCCCACCTTCATTTTGCTTTGTTTTTCCCTTAGCTCTCTTTTCCTACTTAAATTCAAAAATCAACATATAAGAAATTATGTTCCACAATTATATTTATTTTATAACACAGCAACTCATTTTGAATGTACATATCCAAATCAGGATGGTCTCTGAATTAAAATTAGAAAAAGAAATCCAGTCCTTTCATGACAATATATGTTAAGAAACAGTTGGACAGTATTATTACATGTATACAAATTCCACCTACTTTAATGATTAGTGTGCTGGGGACTGAACCCAGGGCCTTCACATAGAGCCACATCCCCAGTCCTTCCTTTATTTTTAGCTTTGAGACAGGGTCTCAACAATTCACTGGGC